TGTAGAATTAAATTATATTGTAAAATAAAATAAAATAAAAAATAAAAAAAAGATAACCATGGCTGTGATTCTTCCAATCAGCACTCTCCTCCTCCAGCATGGCCGCTGCCGCCAGCGGCCAGCCATGAGGAGCAGCACCACAGCATGACCAGAATTGGTGCCGTGACCCATCTAGCTGCTTTTTTTTTTTTTTATAATAAGGGAAAGTCTGGGATGTAAGGATTTTGTCCTTAATTACATCATCAGCCTGCAATGGCATCCCAACCTAAAAAGCAGGGTGGGCCCTCTGTGCATCCCTCTCTTTCCTTTCCGCTCCTTCCTTCCATCTGTCCTCTCTCTCCCTCTCCCTCTCTCTCCTTCTCTTTCCATTTCTCTCTCCCCCCCTCCCAATAAAGCTCTAAAAGGTAACCATGGCTTGTGACTCTCCTCCAGCACTCTCCTCTGCCGGTACTGCTTAACCAACATTGTTGCCGTGACTCAGATACACTACTGAACACTGAGGACCTGCTGTGACCACTGCCACCTGCCGCCTCTTCCCCCATCCAGCGAGTCCACGAGCTTGCACGAGTCCCTTGCCACCTCCACTGGACCCCCACACAGCTACCACTACTGATATTGCCATGATTCTTCACCACAGTGAGTCTGCCATTCTCTTGGCTATAGTCTGAGCTATATTCTTTGCGATGGACACCCTGGGGGTTGTTCTCGGGCTTTGCTGGCAATGGGAGGCACATTTTCGCTCCTGACGAGGGGTTAATGCTGTCTAGGGTCCAATGGTGGACCAATTGCAGCACAGATGCAGCCCTTCCCATCTCCTGACAAAGAGGATGGCGAACTTGAGCTGATTCTTAGATCTCTCTTCACTCTCGGGGACGCCTGAGATTGGAGTCTGAGCCTAGTTTGTTATTTTAATTTTTTATTTTTCTCTTGGCCACAGCCATGAGACAAAGAGGCGGACACATTTACCACCTACATTGGTGGACAGGGGCGGGCACCGGTAAACTTGGCCACATAACAGCGTAAACCTGGCTGCATAACAGCATCGCGGGAACTTCTGCCAGTGAACGGGCAAATAAGAGTTACTTTATCTCCAAGCTTTCTGCTAAAGCTCTAAACCCTTCTCCCTCCCCACTTCTGCATCTGCTACATGCAACCTTTTCTTTCTGACTTCTGCCAGTGGGCAGGCTCAAATGGGCGGGATTGGGCATTTTCTACGATTCGCCCTAACTCACCTTAACTCCACCCACTCATTCTCATGTGCATACAGACAGGGCCCTGACTTTGCCTTGTCCCTAACTCCAAAAAAATAAGTTCTCATGCACCACAAGCTTTTCTCTTCCCAGTTCCTTGTTCTAACTCACTGTTCAGCCAATGATACAGGACTACCACAGAACCGGAGTCCAGAGATGATCAACATCTTGTCAAACAGAAAGTTCCCAGCCACAGCCAAGAGGGATACACGTTTCCAGAGCAAACGTATGATAGACAGCATCTCACAATGCCGGTCTACCTCAGAAGACTCCCCCAACAGCCAACCAATGTCCAATTGTCAGCTGGAAGCAGTTTTTGAGAGGAACAATGCCCCTATTCCCATCTACCTGCTTTTTCATAATAAGTGAAAGTCTGGGATGTAAGGATGTTGTCTTTAATTATGTCATCAGCCTGCGATGGCGTCCCAGCCTAAAAAGCGGGTGGGCCCTCTGTGCGTCCCTCTCTTTCCTTTCTGCTCCTTCCTTCCGTCTGTCCTCTCCCCCTCTCTCTTCCTCTCCCCCTTCTTCTCTTTCCACTCCCTCCTTCTGTTTGTCCTCTCTCCCTCTCTCTCCCCCCCAATAACGCTCTAAAAAGGTAACTATGGCTTGTGGCTCTCCTCCAGCACTCTCCTCCATTGGCATGGCCACCGCCTTCGGAGGCCAGCCATGAGTAACTCTGCCATGTAACCAACAGTAACAAACACCAGGACAAAAAAAAAAAAAGCCTCGTTGGGAGGACAGGGTTATTTGTCTTACACTTCCAGGTCACAGTCCATCATTGAAAGGAGTTGGGGCAAGACCTGAAGGAACTGAAGCAGAAACCATGGGAGAACACTGCTTACTGGCTCACTTGGAGCTACCAGTTTTGCACAGTCCAGGACCACATAACCAAGGAATAGCTGCCCTTCTATTGGGCTAGACTGTTCCCCATCAATAAATAATCAGGACAATTCCCCACAGATATGGGCATCAGGTAATCACATCTGGGCTCTTGCCTGGTGACATTTGGTTGTATAAAGCTGATAATAAAAACTAACTAGAAGAGCAAGGTAGGAAGCAGGGTTGGAGGCAGGGTGATGGAGAGGAGATTCAGCCAGCCCCAGCATAATACTCCTACTAGACCTTCCCTGCCAAGCAACCCATCTCCTCCTGCTATTCATCACCTCTCAACATTTTCAGAAATGGTACCACCAACTGGAAACCAAGCATTCAAATCATGAGCCTGTTGGGGACATTTCAGAATCAAACTGCAGCAGAAGGACACTATACATTATCATTATCTATGGCATTGAAAGCAGGTGACATGAAAGGCTCTGTCTGTCTAGAGCAATCAAAGGTCAACCTGAGCCCTCAGACCTTGAGTAGAGGCCACAGGTCACCAGAGAAACCAAGACTCTTTGGACCTTATTCATTTTCTCTGCACAATCAATGGACTTTGTGATCTCACTTCCTATTCATATCAGCGGAGTCAATAGGCTAAGGTGAGAGATGAAAGGGTAAGCAGAGGTGCTGTAGATTACAAATAGCAGGTGCACATGCACAGACATTTGAAAAAGGCCATGCTGTCATAGGAATCAAATGGGAGAGCAGTGATATTACAACTAAGTGGTTGGGATGAGGAGATGGCTCAGTGGTTCAAGCCCTTGCCTTGTGAGCGTGAGGACCAAATTGGATTTTCAGAAACCACAGAAATTCAGGGTGGGTGTGGTGTCTTTCTGTAATTCCAGTGCTGAGGAGGCTGAGACAGGGATCCCTGGAGCCAGTTGGCTAGCAGACGACTGAGACACTCCTTCAATGAATACGCCTTTGAAGAATTTACTCTTCTTATCAACCCCAGGGCTCCTCAAGCATGTGCACATGTGTGTTCACATACACATATATACTATACACATACACATGTGGAGTAAAAAAAACCCTAAATGTTGTTTTCATTAAGTTAGCTTTTCATTTCATTATGTTCAGGGAAGTGTGTCTGCCCCTAAGGAGTATGGAGAGGGAGGAGCTATCGCACAGCAATGATCATTTTCAGGACTAGAAGACAAAAGCAGCCCTGGCAGCATTCCCAGCCTACTCATAAAAATGCAGTCTTTTGATGGAGGCATGCATTGTCTCAGTCTGGGCCAGAAGTCTTCTCTGTAACACAGGGTTGGGAAACAAGTTATCAGGAGGGTGTGTTTTGGAAACTTCCTTCAAACTGAAGTGTAAGCTTCAGGTTGTGGATATAGGACTCATAGACAGGATTCTCGTCAAGTGCTTTAAGAGTCTACTTGGTGAGTTTGTAATTAGGTGGTGCCTGTGAACAGGAGAACCACATTATGGCTGGAAGACTGTTCTCTCTAATGGAAAATCTGGAGGAATGACAGTTTTTACTTTTTGTATCTTTGAAGATATTTCCTCACTTTATATGGCCTAGGCTGGCCTCAAACTCATGATAATCCTTCTGTTTTAGCCTCCCAAATTTTGAGATTACACTCATGAGCCACTGTACCTGTTTAGACCTTGTATTTCTAAGTTCTCCACAGTATAGACAGTTTTTAAATGTCGTGTTTACATGCACAACAAAGCTTGTGAATGGAGAAAACCTGCACAGTATCAAGTCGGGACATTTATTCTCACAGGTGTATCCAACCTGAGGCTCATGCCAGCATGTGGCCCAGGATAATAATAAATACGGCCTGGCCTACAGAGCGAGTTCCAGGACAGCCAAGGCTACGTTGAGAAACTCTGTCTCTAAAAACAAAAACAAAAGCAATACTAATAATAAATATGGCCCAACACAAAAATTGCAAACTTCAAATATTGTAAAATTTTCTTTTCTTTTTTCTATTTGGAATTCGATTGAGTGGTTCTCCAGGGTAAACTTTGCATATGACAAGGTCACACAGTGTCGCGTCGCAATGCCAAAAGGTTGAGCATTTACACCTGCAAGGGAAGAAACTGGAACCCAGGACAACCTCATCAGAACCCTTTCTTTTTGGCTGTATTTTATAGTCCTTTTGAGTCTGGACTACATTTCCCAGGATACCCCATTGCTGGGACTCATTCAGGATTGGGCCTAGCGATGAGGAAGTGATTTCGGGTCGCCCAGCAACGGGCGGAGTCCTGCACCGTGACTGGGTGAGCACGCCCCTTCCAGGAGGGTGAAGACGCTCAATCCAGTTTCTGAGCCGTCCCTGTCTTTCCTTCCAGCCGGACGGCCAGGTTGGTCTCTTCCGCGCTTCCACCGCCTCTCCTCTCAGGCCCCGCCCCCTTTCCCGCCAGTCGCCGCGAAAGCAGGAAACTGGATTGCAGCTGCGGATCGGCTGGGCGATCAGTGCGCAGGCGCGAGCGGTCCCGGGGGCCCCTGACGCGCGCGGCGCGGTTGAAGGCTGAGTGAGTTGCTGAGGAGACCCGGCGACTACTTCTCTCTGCACCATGGCAGCTCTCCGTTACGCGGGCCTGGACGACACGGACAGCGAGGATGAGCTGCCTCCGGGCTGGGAGGAGAGAACCACCAAGGACGGCTGGGTGTACTACGCCAAGTAAGCGGCCTGGAGCGGCGCTCCCGGGACCCGTGTCCTGCGAGGCCTGGACCCTGCGCGGCAGCCCGGCGGGCATGCGCATCCAGATGACCAGCCACCTGTCCCGGGTTCCCCACCGTTGTGAGCTCAGGGTCAAGACCGAGTCACCTGGCCGCCTGCAGCACGCCCCCTGCTGCTCACTAGGTGGCACTGCACTATGCGGTGATGGCTCAGAGGTCTTAACTCTGCTCAAGAGGAAATGGAGCAAACTTCGATGCCCAGCTCCCGCCAAGGGCACCTGGGTTGGAGGCCCAGCAGTCTGTATTTTTGAACAGAGGTCCTGGATGGCTCACAGTGGTCTCCCCGGGAAGTTTTGGACACCGTAGCAGAGCCTTTCTCCAGTACTAACCGTGACCCTGGGCCACTGAAAGCCCTGGCTGATAGTCTGTTTTCTCCCCCATCAGTAAAATGAGTTTTGACACAAGAATGAATCCAGTGCTGTGCATAAGGCACTCTGTGGAGACGCTGGTGGGTTGTAGCTCTCCCGCCCAGGCTGCCATTAGTTGGACTGTATCTGTGGCAAAGATGCTTAGGCCTGATGTTGGAATTACCTGAGTGGCCTCTCCCTCCTTCTCCTCCCCTCCCTTTTTCTGAGACAGGGCCTCTCTATAGAAACCTGGCTGGCCTGGAGCTAGCGTAATAGACTAGGCTGGCCTCGAACTTTCACAGATCCACCTGCCCTTACAGGGTCTCACTGTATGTTGGCCTGGGTGACCCCCACCCCCAGTATCTGGGTATACACCGAGTTTTCATGGAAAACCTACTGCAGTTGGGGGAATCTGCTCTTTTTAACAAAATTAAAATATGTAGTGCACAAAATGATGGGTTTTGATACAGTTAGGGGGCTTGATCGGGTTCGTTTTCTCTGCCAGTTAAAGAATTAAAAGGCAGGAAGAACCTCCAATACCTCAAACAGCAGTAGGCAGAATCAACAGTTGAAAGACATTTATTGGGGGGTCGGAGGAAACACATTCACACAGCAGACACACACAGAGAAAAAGACCCTCTGCAAAGCAGAGAGGGGTACTCTGGAAGCCAAAACATCCAGCCTCTTTTTGAGGGATTTTTAAAAAAAAGCCTTTTAAGAGTTTTCCTCCCCTCATATAAGAGTTGATCAGTTTGAAGAAAGATAAGAAGGTTGATTAGCCCATAACTGTTGGGTAACATGCCCTGATTTGGCCTTGAACTTGTTGAGCATTAGCAGGGGCCTAAGGCAAGGAGCCTGAGGAAGCTGGCCGTTAGTTACCTAGCCATACCCCCTCTCCCTATCTGCCTGACTACCAAGGAGTCTGTTCTGTCTACCCCCTAGTCCCTGACTTTCAGATGTCCTTTTTCATATGTCTATGGGGTACTTTCACAGTATCCAGTGTCCCATTACTCTTCCTTCCCACCCCCACTTTCTTCCTCTTCTCAAATACTTTACCCCTCTGCTTTCTTATGTGTTTGTAAGACATTTTTAAAATAGGGTCTCATGTAGTCCAGGCTGGCCTTAACTTGATATGTGGCTGAGGTTGAGCTCCTGATTCCCCTATCTCCACTTACTGAGGGCTGGCGGGGGTCCACAAGTATGCAGGAGCACACCTAGCTTTATGTTTTTAAAAACCAGGAGAACCAATCTTTTTACACATGAGTGTATTATCACTTGACTTTCAGAAAACAAATTGTTGTAATTACACCTGTAATTTGTGTTTTTAGTTTTGAATATTTAATGTTTTTTAAATGTAGACCACACTGGCTTCAAACTCACAGAGATCCTCTAGCCTCTGGGATTAGTGGCGTGTGCTACAGTTTTGTTTGTCCAGTAGTGTTTCTTGTAGCCCATGCTTGCCTAGAATTCTTTATATTCCGATCCTGTTGCCTCCTGCCTCCACCTTCCAGGTAGGAATCACAAGCTTGCTCCACCCCTACCTGGTTCAAGAAAAATTTAAAAGATAACTTTCCTGACTCATTATCAAATTAGGACTTAGTTTGTGCCCTGGAGTCTCTCCGTTGATAGGTTGTAAACTCCCCATGAGATTTTCAGCTACACAAGGGTATGAGTCACTGCTGCCCCTGCTGGCCAGGTAGAAAGAAACGGAAACCAGAAAAGCTCTGGAGAATTCATTCCTTGAAGGGTGTAGAGCCCTGAAGAGCCAGGCCCCTTGGTGGGCACTGGTGATGTCCAGCTGAGTGAGCTGCAGCTGTCAACCTAAGGAGATGATTTGTAATTAGATGGTTCCAGTGCGTTTTGTCTGTCCAGCAGGAGGCGTGTGTGAGTGGGCGAGGGAGGCTGCCTAGGAGAGCTGTCACTTGGCCTGTGTCTCAGAGCACAGGTGGGTGCGTGTGGCAGGATGTCGGGCAGGTGGAGGGGACGGTGGAAGGAGGGACCTCAGTCTGGCCTCTGTCTGTGGTGCAAGGTTGTAAAGTCTGACACTGTGGAGGAAGGAATCAGTTTGCAGAGGTCCTTCTGTGCTTCACTGAGGACCTGAGACTGCTGTCAGACTCTGGAGCCCACTGATGATCTGGAGCCTGGGAGCGACACTGAGTTTGTGTCTTTAGAGAAGTAAGTGGATTGTATGAGCAGGAGGCTCAGGGGTGTAGGCATGCCAGTGATCCTTCAACTGTTGCTCCTACCTGGACCTCTGTGTGCAGAGTCTCTGCCTTCGAGACCTTTCCAGTCTGTGCTGTTTCAGCCACCTGTACTTATCACTGTTTTTACTCCTTAGCATCTCAAATAGCCATCTTGTCAGTTGGTGATAAAGTAATACAGTTACTCTCTTGTTGAGAGGAAATGAAGCTTAACCTTCGAATGCCTCCTTCAGTGTCCTGCTGTTTCCCTGATGATAGGATCTTTGTCACTGGTGACAGGTGGTTCTAGCTTTTGATCCATGCCCTATACGAGAATGATCTATTATAGCTGTACTTTAGGTTTTGAATGAGTTTATGAAATGTGAATCAAGCCACCGTAGAAGAATAAATACCAAGTAGCAGATAGATAGAAACAAGCCACAGATAGCACATACTATTTGGTGGAGTACTCACAGGGCCCATCAGAAACAGACTGGAGGAGCCCAACTAAGAGAGAAGTGAAGTTACAGCTTTAAGTCAGGTGTATACAACATCAGCAGACATCTGGGAGCCCTGTGGAGAGGTAATGCTGGTGTTCCCATCGCCCGGTACATGCTCTTCGTGGACAAGCTTCCCCTTACCCACAGGCATTTTTCTATTGTAGGATAAACAGTAGCTGAGGGAAGGCACTTTGGAATCTTCTAGCTGTGTTCAAGGACAGGATGTTTCTTTAATACCCTTAGCTGTCTGCTGTTTCCTTTCTTCCTGTCACAGAGTAGGGAGCCCATCAGTCTCGTGGGGGCTTTTGGAGGACACTTGAAAGAAGCACACAAGAGCCTGGGGTAAGGGAGCCTCCTTGATACCAGAGTCTGCTCTCAGTGGGCTTGGACAGCACATGACAGTTTACCAATAGAATGTATTACAGCTCACCATTTTGTTGTAATGGTTGCTCCATTAGACATTTGAACAGTGTCCTCAACAGCCCCATTCTGCAGATGACAGGAAGTGACAGCCGAGAGCTAGAGTGAGTGGACTAGTGGTGCATAGGGATTGTCTTATCAGATCTGGTGTTTGTAGATCTACAGTCATCTTGTCATAGGCAGATGACCTATGCTGCTGTCTTACTGCGTTCTTAATGTCCTTTTGGGTGTGCTCAGGACCCAGTGATTAATGAGACACTGAAGTTACACCTGGGGATAGAAGACACATCTAAAACTGTGTGTGTGTGTGTGTGTGTGTGTGTGTGTGTGTGTGTGTGTGTGTGTAAGGGTGTATGCATGCCATGGTGTGTTGGTGGAGGTCAGGGGACAACGTTCTGTAGCTCATTCTCTATGTCTACTGTTGTATCCAGGCAGCAAATTTGTGTCAGGATTGCATGGTAAGCGCTTTCACCTCTTGAACCATTTTGCCAGCTCAGAATGTACATTTTTAAAGTCACTTCTATAATTTTAGTACTTAGGAAGTAGAGACAGTAGAATTAAGTGTTTAATGTCATCCATGGCTAAGTAGTGAGTTTAGGCCAGCCCAGGCTGCACAAAACCTTGGCTCCAAAAAACAAAAACAAAAACAAAAACAACAACTAAACTAAACAGCAACAAAACCAACAAAGCAAAAAAAAAAAAAAAAAAAAAAAAAAAGAACAAGGAAAATAAACATCTAAAAAGGATCAACATTAACAATGCTGTATTTAAGCTATGTTTAATATTTAAATATGAGCGTTATAAACCAGACACTGAAGTTTGTCAATATATCCTTAAATGAAGGGAAAAGAAATACAAAACGTCTGTGTAGAACTCTGTGATTCACAGAGCTTTGTAAAGTTGACTCATAGCTGGGACCCAGTCCCTCCTTGCTGTCCTCCCACTGCTCTCCCCACCTGGGCTGCAAAATTCCTTCAGGATTGATTCCAGCCCCCAACCTGGGGTCTCTGCCCTGATGTAACCAGGAAAATTTCGACTCTGAGTATGTCTTTCTCGGCCTGTTCTTACTACTCCACCTCTATCTGGGAGAGACACATTGAGTGCAGTGATTACTGTATTACCACATTTAGCCAGGTTAACTTACTTTATCGTGGGTCTCTGTTACAGCCACACCGAGGAAAAGACCCAGTGGGAACATCCGAAAACCGGCAAAAGGAAACGAGTTGCAGGAGGTCTGTATGGCAGAAGCCCAGAATCCTGAGTCTGAAACATTGATTAGCTGGGGAAGATGTCACAGTGGTGAGGTAGCAGTTGACCCTATCGTCCTGGGAAGGCTGTCTGGTGGGAACAAGGAACAAGATTCTCAGTGTGAGAGTCTACTGGGATTTGGCAAAAGAAGAGATAAGTGGTTGAGATGGACATCAGGATGCCTTATGCCTTATGGCCTTAAACAAAGGGTTACTGAAACAGTTGCGGCCTTTGACTTGTGTTTCTCTGTAGTTGCACCACGTGGGTAATCGCTTTTGGTGTAGGCTGTGGAGGCAGATGGCAGTGCTTTGCAGAAACCTACAGTGAAAACCGTGACTTCTAGGTGTTTCCGAACAAGTACACAATCCATGGAATAGAAATATTGAATAAAGACAAAAGGTGTTGAAGCTCCTTGGCCTCAGTGGGTTTAGGATCTAGTTGAAGACAGATGAGCTGGTACATGAAAATGATGGATGGCTCTATAACATGGTGCAAGGCAGCCCAGGTCAGCACTCCACTGGTCAGTGCCTGGTGTACTTGCAGATGTGGTTGTGGGCTTTGGGAATGCATGTTCATAGGAGCATCTGCTGAGGCTTGCAGTAAAAGGAGGAGCTGAGTGAACATTTAAGAGTGATCAAGAGAGTAACAGGATTTTTGTTAAATCAGGAAGGAGAAATGTGGATTCCAGAAGGGATACTGGGCCTTCTGTGACTGCCACCCTTGAATCTTGTGACCAGGGGAAGCAGAGGGTTTAGGAGGCGGGATAAGAGGGATGAGACTTATTCCTGACCTTGGGATGTGGCTTGGTTTCACTCTACTACACGTACAGCTGTCACTCTTTCTTGTGTTTCAGATTTGCCGTATGGATGGGAACAAGAGACAGACGAGAATGGACAAGTGTTTTTTGTGGAGTAAGTGTCTGTGTAGAAACATGGCCAGGAGAGCCTTCAAGAGGAATTTTTCATTATAATTTCCTATATTGACTGTAGGAAAATATGAAGTCATATTCACCTGTTTTGTCAGCAGAAGTAACCACCTTCTCTGGCTTTCTGATTTTTTTTCCCCTCCAGTCTGCAGTTTTCCACCCTTTTCTGTGCACTGAGGTTTTGGGGTTAGGCCAGACCCCCCCCTTCACATTCCAGCCCGCCACATGGGTTGTGGTGTGGCATTCACTATGCACACCTTGATAGAACAGCTACAGTTTCTACTCCCATTCCCTAAGGTGAAACAAAATAGTAACTTTACAGAGAATCTGATAGCATGCATTTGGGGATTTTATGAAATTTTTCTTATGTTTTCACTGTGTTTGATTGAACTACTCTCTCCCTCCCTCCTTCCCTCCCTCCCTCTCTCCCTCCCTCCCTCCCTCCTTCCTCCCTCTCTTCCTCTCTTCCTCCCTCTCTTCCTCTCTTCCTCCCTCCCTCCCTCCCTCCCTCCCTCCCTCTATTTTCTTCCCCGCCTGCCTTTCTTTTCTTCTTCTTTTTTTTTTTCCTTTTAAGCTGCTTGTCTTTGAGGCTTCCTAAATTTTTACAAAGAATTGATGGATGTGTCTATGTGACTGTATAAGGGCATCAGGTCCATCTGCTATCATTCTACAAATTCCTTTGAGGTTGGGTCTCTCCCTGAACCTGGAACTTGCTTTTTCTTGGCTCAGGTGGAAGCCAGTAAGCCTCAGCAATCCTGCTATATCTGCAATCTTTGGAGTCGGGCTTACAGATGTGCAAACAGGGAATTTCTGGCTTGTTGGATGGGTGCTGAGTTCCAAACTCCAGTCCTCCTCATTGGGCAACAAGTGCTGTTAACTACTGTGCCGTCTCTGGAATTGTTTTCAAATTTGTATAACTACAGTGACAGTTTGTCGTGGTCTCACTTGTTACTATCCCTGTAGTAATAGTTATAGTAACAGGTTTACCTGAGGTAAATGGTTTGTCAGCAGACCTAATGAACTCCCTCTTGGTATGTCTCCTGCACTGGGAGCAGGTAGGCCAGGGCTTGCTTTGGAGAATGAGCAGTCATTGGCAGCTCCAGCAGGGCAGCCTCCCTGGCAGGTGGGTGGGTGGATAGTCTTTGCTGCCTATTAGATTATAAAGGATTTCCTCTCCCTTGATTTATAAAAATCTTTTCCCTTATCAAAATAGGGAGATTATTTTTTAGTTTTGTTTTCTGAATATCCTTTTCTACATTTTTCTTGGAGAACATACCTGTGGAAGTTCTTAGCCTCCTGCGTATGCTCCTCCTGTGCACACACATGCCTGTGAACCTTTTCTCTGGGGTGCTTTCCTCTTTACTGGCCCAGAGCAGTGGTTCTAATCGTTATCTTTGGCAGCTCTTGGGAACTTATTAGATATACACATACTCAGACCCTCTACTATCTAAATTTCAAGTTGGGGTATATTGTTGTTGGTGGCTGGCAGCCTATGCCCTCCAGGGAATTCTGAAGCATGCTGATTTGACTGGCCTACTCTAGAGAGGAGACAGCTGAACTTGCCTGTGATGGATCAGACATCATGTTTTAGGGTATGGTTTCTATTTTAAAACAAAAGTGATGGCCATTGCTGTGTCCCAATAAAACTACAGAAACAGGTGCTGATCTAATGAATGAACATGGACTTTGGAAGCAAGCTGGAACAAGACTTCCCTGACTGGTTATTCTCTAGCCTGCTGCAGGAGTATGCTGGGATATGCTCAACAACCAGCTCTTTGGGGAAAAGAAGTGTAGATTTGTTTCCATGTGCAAATGCTGTCACCAGTGCCAGTTGTAGGCTACCAAGTGGAACCCCCGAGGAGCAGAGGACAGCACAGCCAGCGCTGCTGACGTCAGTGTTGTCAGATGGGGTCTCACTAAGTTGCTCAGACTGGCCTTGAAATTGCAGTCCTCCTGTTAGCTGGGATTACAGGCCTATGCCATGAAGCCCAGACACATTTTACATCATAGTCTTCTATGTGCATCAGGAGGATTCTTAATAGTTTTAAGTATGTTTATGACTTTTCAAGGTCTTTAATTTCAGATCTCAAGAATACACATAATTTTTGTATTACATTTTATATATTTAGAATGTGTGTGTATATGCGTGCATGCATGCACATCATGGCACACACATGGCCATCAGGACAACTTGCAGGAGTTGGTTGTTTCCTTCATCACATAGGGTTCAGGGATTGAACTCAGTTATCAGGCTAGGTAGCAGGCACCTTTACTTGCTGAGATATCTTGACAGCCCAGGAATACATTTAAATGTAAAAATGGTATTAAAAGGAGTAATTTAATAATCTGTATGTGCCAGTATATTTTAGTGTTGTTTCTGTAAATTCTAGATCAATTCCAAATCAAAAGTAGAGTGCTTATTATAGGTGGCTTAGCCGTGGTCTTACAATGGAAAGCATTGAAACTTTGCTATTTGGCTTGTTTTATAGTTATTAAGACTTCCATCATTTCCACTTTCTCCTTGTGTCGCAGGGTTTTTAGGCCTTTGCACAGGCCAGTGAAATTACTTGGACGTGTATTGATGAGAGTGGTTGGCAGATCTTACAGATGAATTTATATTAACATGAATTCAGTAGAAACTTACAGTCTTCTCAGGAAGCTGTTGTGAGAGCCGAGGGGCCAAGTGTGTCCTAGTACCTTCAGGTAGTTCTGAGAGGCTTCCACAGCTGGGTTCCCAGGCAGGGGTGCGGTCCTTCTGGAGGTTAGAAGACAGATCAGTTGGGTTCTGGATCTCTCCATGTTTGACAGTAGGCCTTTCTGTGCATGAACCATGGCGTGTTCCTGAAGTATTAGAGTACCTTGTATTTGGAGCTACTGGTCCTTGCTGTATAGAGATCAATGCCCTCCCTGTTCTTTGCAGCCACATAAATAAAAGAACTACCTACTTGGACCCAAGATTGGCATTTACTGTGGATGATAATCCAACAAAGCCAACCACTAGACAGAGATATGACGGTAGCACCACTGCCATGGAGATCCTGCAGGGCCGGGACTTCACAGGAAAGGTGGTCCTGGTTACCGGAGCGAATTCAGGAATAGGTAAGTTACCTACTGTCGTCTTATTTTACTTATTTCTTTTTTTGTGAGTGCTGCGGTGAATTCTACTTAAATATAACCAGTGAAACTTTGGAAGTGAATCTCCAGTTTAAAGATGGTCTCATAGCCTTCTCAGCTGTTGTTTCATTAGAATGGCAGCCTCTTTCAATCCCAGGGTTACAGTGGGAGGCTGTGTGGGGCCTGACCTTGAAGTTGCTCAAAGCTGAGAAGTCAGCAAAAGGCTGTGGCTATTTTGGTATTCAGGGGCTGGAGACAACAGGCTCTGGCTAAGAGTTTTTGACCCGGTCTGTGTGGTGCATGGATGTATTCCAATTACCTGGGTTATTCAAACCAAAATTGATTGGTAATGGGATACTGGACAACAGCAGATTGTGACTTTGGATCCAAGGGTACTGCAGGTTTCCACTGGTCATTGAGCCTATCATTTTCTTCTGGTAACCGTATCTTATTTCTTCATAAAACTGGAGAATTCGTCCTTGTCCTCACCTCTGCAGCAACCCTCCTAATTGCTGCTCTTTAACCACAGTGGCTGTGGTGAGGTCAGTGGGTACTTGTGCCATCCTGAGGGATGGAGATTTATTTTGTTTTGGTCCATTGACATCTGACATTAGCATCTGAATTGCTTTGAGATAGGATATGCATCTTCAGATTAAAGAATAGAATTGCATCCAGATGTCCTTTGGCTTGTCCTCTGTCAGGTTTCTCTCTGTCCATCTGTCTGTCTATCATGGTGCCCCCTCATGACCTCTCTCATGACCTTTTCTCTATCCTTCCTGATTTTGAAGTCCCCATTGTCCTTCTCCAGCAAGCATAGGAGGTGAGTTACCGCCTTTAGCGGATCAGCCACTGTGCAGTGTGTCAGGCTCTCAGAGCTTGAGATTGCCATCCCAGATACGGACAGGGGCTTGACCATACTATGCTAAGGTAAAGGGACAAAGGAAATTTGTCTAAGAAATGGGAAGCGATTTCCTTCAAATCCCCTTTTAAACCTCATCTGAGCTCAGAATACATTCAGTCCAGCCTTTCAGTCTCTGCCTTGGGTTCAAGTCTGGATAACAGTCATGCTGTGTGTCAGTGGAGCTGCAGTGCTGGTGATAATGACTGGCTCCTTGGGATCCCAGAAGCAGTGGGTTGACCACTGTTACAGTTCTGAGTGTGGACCCAGAGTACTGTAGAGTAAGTTTTAGAGAAGGATTTGAGGAATTAAGAAAAATCCCTTTGTTTATGTAATACTCAGCTCACTAGGAATTTAATGAAAAGATCTCATTCCTTTAGTCTTTTAGTTGGACAGTTTTTCTCTCATTTATTCACTTAAAACTTATTTATTTTATGTGTATCAGTATTCTGACTGCGTGTATGTATGCGCACTACTTTTGGAGTCCTGAAGAGGTTATTGGATATGCTGGATCTGGAGTTATAGATGGTTATGAGCTGCCATGTTGGTGCTGGGACTTAATCTGGGTTCTCTGCATGAGCAGTGCTTAACCAGGGAGCCATCCTTCCAGTCCCCAGGATAGACTTTCTTTAATCAGTGAGGTGTGTGACTGGTTCCTGTCAGGTGCGTGGTCTGATGTTAGCTAGCAGACCTTTGAATCCGACTGTTGTCCTGGCAAAGATTTGCAGCACTGGGTGTTTGGCATTGCCATCTTGGACTCAGAATTGGCGGAGGACAGGATGAAAATTGTGTTAGGGTGATTTCTGAGATAGAGAGACATGGAGATGTTGAAGTGTGACGAAGAAACATGTGGACCCGAAGGCTCCCCAAACCCTGGGAGCAAGGGTGGGAGAGCTGCCGCTCCGCTGCTCCCACTGACCTCTGACACTTCCTTCCTGAGCCCCAAGTTCACTGTGTGGACACTGCAGGAGGTGTGCATGGCCTCACGGGTGCGGCTAGTCACAGGGTGAGGTCAGGACGGATTGTGGAGGATTATAGGGAAGCCAGCAGTCCAGCCCCTGTTTTCCCTGAGGGACTGACTTTGCCACTGCCTGTCACTCCTTCCCCCTTTCTACTCCAGCAAGCATGAGCCCATGCTAGTGCTGCAGATTCTGACTCTTCAGGTTTGGAAGAATATATTGCAAATTCCAGGTAATCAAATCTGTACAGATCCTTCTCCCTCTTCAGCAGGTGTGTCGAACTTGAAGAAGCTGGAGGTTGATAGGAACCTGGCTTTTCATCCTAACGTAGTTGTGTCCTTCCAGGAAGTCTTGGAGAGTGTTCTTGCCCAGGTAGTCTGTGGCTTCTAGATCCCAGGCTTCCTTCTCCCGAGCCGTGCAACTGCTAAATTGCCCCCACTGCTTCATTTTTGCCTGTGGAGTGCAGAGTGGAGTGGGCATCTGCTCCCAGGATCACGGGTGTCACCCTCTGGGAAAGCTTTGCCAGGGTCGTCAGCATCCTTTTCTTTGGGCCACAGCAGGGCGACTGTCATGTGTATCAGCAGCTGAGTCTTTAGCCTGTGAAGCTGAGTGGATTGATTCTGAGCATGGTCCCCCGTGACTGGAGGGACCCCTTGTCTGCTCATGAGTGCTGTAGCCACAGCACCTTTTCCGTGCTCCCCTCCAGGCACTGCCTCCTCAAGGTGGGGAGGAATGTGTCCCCTGACCCACTGACTGGGTTCTCCTAGGGCCCTGTCCCCTTTGATGTGAGCTCTGAGCAGACTGGTCTGTCACTGCCTTTCTCACACTGGTCATAAACAATGCAGGGCTAACTTTTGAATGCTGATACTTGGTATTTCTAAGGCAACTGAAGAACTTCTCAGTTTTATGCAGGGTGAAAAGGCCAGGATGGTTCTGCAGTGTAGGATGATTCAGAGGCAATGCAGAAGGACTAGGGGAGCATGAAAAAAGTTAGTTTTGGAAACAATGTCTTACCATGTATCCTTGCCTTGAGCTTGCTATATATATAGGTCAGGCTGGCCTCCAACTCCTGATCTTCCTGTCCTCCCATGCCAGGATTACAGATGTGTCTCACCACACCCTGCTCCCAGCCCTTCTCATTACAGTTGTTAGCCAGCTTTACCTGTTGACTGGACTCAGCTGTCTATATTGGAGTAGGTCAGCTGCAGTCCCTGGGTGTAATTTGACCTACCTGATTTTGTAGGTGTTTTATATTGGAACACAGCCATGCACATTTAAGATATCACCAGAAGTCGAGTAACTACAGCAGGGATTATGTGGCCCCCAAAGCCTAAAGTATTTACTATGGGGCCTACACTCAAAGCGTTAGCTCTTCCTGCACTGGGTGGTCTAGCTGAACACAAGGCAGGGTTGCCTCGGCATTCTTACCAGCCACAGTTTAGCTGAGGCTGGGATAATAGGATACCCAGCTGCAGGAAGAGTGGCCAGCACATCTTGAGTAACTGGAAGGGTCGTCTTACCAATGTCCACCCACCCACCAGTGTTCTTAGTGAGCTGCAAGGTTAGGATGTTGTCTTCTCAGGAACTAACATTCTTCTCCTCTTGACCTTTGTTTAACCAGCTTTCTGATCCTGAAGACTTTTAGATTGAAAGCTGTAGCTTGTGGACCTCAGAGGAGATCAGCATCTCAGGCTCCAGGGGGAGCCATCTCTTCATCCAGAGCTGCTGCTAGCAGATCAAGAGCCCGGAGCCTGCTTGCTACTCAGTAGACGAGGGAGGAGCTCACTGCCATGTGTGCAGCACAGCTGGGCAGGAGGGGCAGGAGGTTGTGGCTCTTTGGAGTTAGCCGCTGCTGGCTCTGATTCTGTAAAAAAAGAAAAAGAAGGAAATGGCTTCAACACAGAGTTGACCACATCTAAGTCCTGAGGAGTCTCAGGAAAGGGCTTGTTTCAGGCTAGGAAGTCTTCCACTTTCCTGGGGGATTTCCCTGACTAAACCTGTGTGCCAGCCACTTTGGCTGTGTGTGTGTGTGTGTGTGTGTGTGTGTGTGTGTGTGTG